GGAGGGGGAAGGAAGGGAGAAAGAGAAAAAGAAAAAGAAAGGTGGAAAAGCAAAAAGATGGGGAGGGAGGAAGGGGGAAAGATAGAAAGAGAGAGAGAGAAAACAAAGCAAATAGATGGGGGAGGAAGGAAGAAAGAGAAAGAAAGAAAGAAAAAGAAAGAAAGGAAAGGAAACAAGCAAATAGATGGGGAGGGAGGGGAAGGAAAGACGGAAGGAAGAGAGAAAGAATGAAAGAGGTGGAAAGAAAGGAGAGAGAAACAGAAACAAAGAAAACAGATGGGGGAAGGAGAGGTGGAAAGAAATGAACTTTAAATGTGTTCTCCATGCCCCCCATGCTGGGTGACTTGGCTTGGAGAAGGGATTTAGAGAGACAAATACCTTCTCCAAGCCGGCCAGCAGGGGGGAGGGGCTTTGAGAATGCCTCCCATTCAGTTCCCCAGCCTCCCAGCTGGGAGCCACAGAATATGTGTGAAAGAGTCGCATGTGGTTCCCGAACCACAGTTTGGCCATCCCTGGTTTACACTGACCTGTAGAACACTTGACTTTAAAAGCCCTTCACAATCTGGAATCCATATATCTGAAGGACCATCTCTCCTGGTGCAAAGTTTCAGTGAGCCAGCTATAACAGCTCTTACATACCATCACCTCAGATAGGAGGGCTGTGGTCCTTCACATAATGTCCTTCAGATACGAGCTTTCGTAGTTCTGATTCCGGTTCTCTGAAATGGCCTTTCTGAGGAGGTGGGGTGAATGTTGATATTCAGAAGATGCTGCAGAACACCTCTCTTTGAGAGGGCTTTTTTTTTTTTGCTGACTGGATGTCATGAGGGTCACGTCCAAGTTGGGGTTGGGTAGGTACAAGCTCCGTGCAACTGGGCATGGTGTGATCTGCACCTTATGATCCCCAGATGCCTTTGACCCATGCACGTGAGGGAGCTCTCAGTGCTTCTATGCAGCTTGTGTTCCTCCTGGCTTCAGTGGGACCTTCTCTGCTCTAACTGTTGTGTCACCTGAGATGGGGATGGGTGGTGGGGAATGTCCCATCCAGGCCAAGTGAGGAATGGGCTGCAGAGAGGTAATAAACCTTGAGGTCTTTCAGACCCATTTGAGAAGCAACAACCATTGAGGGTAAGGCCCTCAGCTGCCAGGTGCAGTCCCCCCCACCCCGGGGAGGAGGGGCAGCCTTTCAGCTGAGTCCATGGGCTATGCTCACCCAGCACTTCAGCTAGCACTACTAGGAGCCCCACGTGTCTCGTGGGAGGAGGGCTTCTTCTGCAAGACATCTGGGTCTCCTAGGAAAATCAACTCAGGGGCTGCAGTTGCCAGAGTGAGTGCTTTGGGTGCCGTTGAGGGGAATTGGTGCCTCTCAGCTTACAGGATATAGGTATATCTATACAAGGTATAGATAGGGGCTCTGGGGCAAGTGATGCTCTGTCTTCTTGGTGCTTGGGGGGGTCAACAGTGGGAGGGCTTCTAATGTCCTGGCCCCACTGGTGGACCTCCTGATGGCACCTGGTATTTTTGGCCACTGTGTGACAGAGTGTTGGACTGGATGGGCCTTTGGCCTGATCCAACATTGGCGTCTCTTATGTTCTTATGTTATGTTCTTATGTAGGAAGGGTGGGGAACACATTATGGTTGCAAACTGGAGTGTCATGGCATGCCTCCATGGGTTTCATGTGGCACCTATGTTCATGTGTGGGCTAGATGGACCAGTTCTTGACCTAACCACATACATAGAAATAGTTCTGTCCCCCTTTTTCAGCCTTGTGGTTCTAAGATTGTGAAATATAATTCTTAAAATTCAGCCTTGCTAGGGATGTAAAATTCCGGAAATTTTGAAGCTCAGAAAAAAACCCATTTCCCCCCCCAGTTTTTTCCAGAAAAAACAGAAATTTTCGGAAAAATTGAAAAAAAATTGCTACATTAGCACTTCTTTTTTCTTTTCCAGATTGAAAGTCATTCTGTTACTTTAGGAACATAAAATATGACTATGGACATTTTTACTTGGCATGAAATTATCACAACTAGCATATTAAAAATATAGTGTATCCAAACAGTTATTTCAAACAGAATTTTGAAATAATTCCCACATGCAAAAACAAAACTGAAACCTTTTTATTGTCTTCTGACAATAGCACCTCCTAAAGGAGGAAATGCATCTTGTTCTTGCATTAGAGAGTTTAGTTTGTAACCTAGGACTTGCTTGTCCTCAGTGCACAGAAATTAGATCAATCTGATACCATATATATATATTTTAGAAATGATTTGGAAAATATTTGAACACCTTGTCTTAAAATATTTTATTCATCATGTTAAAATAAAACGTTCCATAATCAATTTTTTTTCTTTTCTTTTCTCAATGTTTGCCAATTTTTCAGAAAAAAACAAAAAAGGCTTCCGGAAAAAAAAGGAAAAAACCCGGCCCCCCCCCCCCCCGCATTTTTCCGGTTTTTTCCCGGGCCTTCACATCTCTAAGCCTTGCACATAACCACCTTGCCCTTTAATTAATTCACCTAAGCATCCCATTCCTTCTCCTACCACATTGTTTTCCTCAGTCCCAGAAGAACACATAAAAGGTACATTAAAAAAAGCAGAAACTAGCCCCCATGATGATGGTGCTGAACCTGGCTTTTCCCCCCATCTCTCTCCTGTGCGGTGTTGGTGGGGGGGAACAGGAAGAGGGAGGGTACTCCCTTTGAAACGGAGCATTGCAGTGGACCATTCTGGAAGCAGCATATTTCTCCTTTCCACTTCCTGCTCTAGGAAGAAATCTGGCATGCAGTCTCTAAAAGGAACACATCTATAGGTACCATGTGCAGATGTTCCTCTCCCCCTTTCAGAAGAGGGCGGAAGCAGTCCAAAGCATTGCTTTGCAAATGACAGAGCATCTGATCGGGTCACAGACAATGTTTATCAAAATACATCAGTACAAAATTATCAGGACTCAGAGAGTTACTACAGGCGTGCCCAAGGCTTATGATCACCAGTGTTCCCTCAAAGCTGGGTGAGTGTGAGCTAGCTCACAGTTTTTTAGCCTCCGGCTCACACATTTTTGTCCTAGCTCAGGAAGGATGGCTCCAAACTAACTTATGCAGTAGCCAAATCACTCATGCACAGCTTTAATGCCAGTAGCTCACAAAGTAGAATTTTTGCTCACAAGACTCTACAGCTTAGAGGGAACATTGATGCGCGCCCAGTGGGACTTTGGATGCTGAGGACATCTTGGAACTCTCCTTGATTTCAAGAGTGGTTTGTTGCATAAGATGGGTAAGGGTAAGCGATTCTGTAAGTGTGTGCAGGTGTTTAGGGGGCACGCTTGGATGCAAAATCTTCTGTGCGTCCTTTTATACGCCACTGTATTGTCTCTGTGTGTGTATGATGTGTTCTTATGTTGTCAACGGATTGTGTTTCCCGTCAGTCGTTCTTACTTTCAGATATTCTCTAGTAGTAAGCGGAAGATAATGCTCCATGTTTCTCCATAGAAGGCTAAAGGCTGTTTCCACTTCTACTTAATCCCAGTTATATTTTTATGAGAAATATTAACATGTTTAATATTTTGTGGTACTTTAAATGCTCAGAAAATGTCCATTTTTAATGGAAGCGTTTTTATATATGCTTCAAAAGAAGCTACGCTCCATAGAAGCCGTTGTAGACCCTTCCTCAAGATGATTATAGGTGACTAACCATAATTGAACAAAATGCTTTTTTTTAATTATTGAAGCTTATATACATAATCTTACATTAAATCATTGTACAATCATTTTACCCCCTCCCCCCTCCCTCCTTATAGTATCTTCATATTTTTAACCATGTGCACAGATTCTTCATTCGTATTTGGATATTTGGATTGGCTTCTCCCCTTTCCACCCATTCCTTATATCCTACCCATTTATTCATAATCTTTTGACATTTCTCCTCCCATGTCTCTTCAGTAATTATCTGTGCAAATATATCTGATTGTATGCGTTCCAAAGACATAATTATTCCATTTTTCCATTGTCCATTTGTGCCTATCCCTCCATCCCAATGCTATTACAGCCATCCCGGCTAAAACCATAATTTTATATAACTCCCGTTTATTTCTTTCCACTTTTCTATTTCCCAATATTCCAGAAATAGGCAAGTCCCTATTAATCTCTATATTAACTTGAAATAAATCAAAGATAACCCTTACAATTTTTTGCCAAAATTCCTTAACCACTTTGCATTCCCACCACATATGGGCATATAGACCTACTTCTTGGCCACAGTGCCAAGACTTTGGATTCATTCCTTTAATCATATACGTTATCTGAGCCGGAGTTCTATACCACTTCCATATAAATTTCCTCACCAATTCTTTATCTCTATCTATTTTAATTTGATTTATACCCTTCATTATTTCTTGAATCACTTCCTAATTGAACAAAATGCTTAATACTGATTAGAAAGTGTCCGGGGACCTAAAGCTTGACTTCTCTGAGTTTGCCTTTTCTTCTCACTTCAGATCACACTGATGCAAATGGAGACAGCGTGGGCAGGGTTGTCTTTAAAAAATTAAGTTTGAAAGTTCTTATCAAACCTCTGAAGGCACTTTTGTTAATCACTTAAATTAAAAAGATATATATATCTTTATGCTTATTCAAAACATTTTCCATGACAGTGCTTTATGACTCTAATGTATTATCAACAAGAGGTAGGGCATTGTATGCAGAGAGTCTCCGGTTCAGTTTCTGGCATCTTTGGCCAAAAAGATCAGGGAGTAGGTGATGTGAAAGACCTCTGCCTGAGACTGGAGATGTGCTGTTGGAAATACTGGCTCAGACCAGTGGTTTGACTCGGTGTAAAGCAGTTTCAGGTGTACGCATTTTGATAAGTGCTTATTCTTTATGATGGCTCAAAAACGTCATGGAGTTCCCCCTGTTTAAGTTGTTCCATATGAACAGGTCAAGAAAATTAAATCATGTCCCTATTTCCTTGGCTGCTTATTACTCTTCTTTTGTTTGCTGTATTTATAGGTGTTGATTTTAAAATCAAAAAGGTAGAGCTAAGAGGAAAGAAAATTAGATTACAAATCTGGTAAGTAAAAAACAAATGCAACCCGCAGATTAAAAAAAATTTTTGTGGTGTTCTAGCATGGTTTCAATATTTTTGTCTAATCTCCGTGATTGTTATAAACTGATTTAGTTCTTACCCACTTGCTGTTTCCCTTCCCTCATGCATCTCTAGAAATAGGCAACTAATTTTTAGGTACGTGGTTACATGGGAAATGACCAGCCAAGTGACGTAGTTTCTGTATTTTAATGACTTCAGAGCTCTAGCAGCAGCACTGAAAAGAAGTACTCTTCTTTCTGAAAGGATAGAAGTTTAGATTGTTTGTGAACACTGGTACAAATCACAATAAAATATTTTTCTAACATGACAGTTAAGAAAGGTATGTAGGCCAATCTGACCATTAGCTGTCTATACAGTAAATGATTCTCCTTCCACACACCACATTGTAGCACATTTTAAAATCAGCATGAAACTGTAAAGTCAAAAAGTGTTAAGGTTTGGAGAAGCCCCTGCTTAAATATTTGATGCTGACACCCATGAAAATCATGAAAACAGCAATTTGTACTGCTTTATACGTTGTTAATGTAGTGTGGAAAAATAACACGCACATGAAAATAGGAGGACCACATATTGTTTTATGGACAACAATAGTTCATAAACCTTTTTTGGGATTCTAATCTTGCTGTAGCAGAAGCTTGATGCCAGTTGCTGTTGTGAGAGCTACAAATTGGCTGTGTTAACACAATTCTAACCCTCTATTGGCTGTACTGCAGTGCATTAATATAGTTTTCATGCATAATGGGCGTTAGAGCTAACTGCTAGATATACTTAACTGCCTTTAGGGGTAAAGAGCAAAGTTTGGTGTTGGTTTGAATGACACCACTGGAGTGCTCTGATTAAACTTAACTTTTGCATAGATGCGGTGAATTCAGTCTACTAACTCCTCTTGGCAGGTCACCATCAACTCTGTTTGTCGCACCATGTGTTTGTCTTGCTTCCATCTGAGTTAATTGCTGTTGCATCTTTCGTGTCATCCGTTACCTAATACTTGAAAGTTACTGGCATGACTTCATTCCACATCTGTGTCCCCATCTGGAATCCTGTGGCCACAGGGTTGGTACTTGAGCCAGAGTGATGGTTAGCCAGGGCCCACTGAAGCTGATACGAGGTAATGTAGATTTTTTTCAATGTGCCAATGTCTTTGGATGTAAAATGATTTGTCATGATGCGTTGAAACCTAATGCTCACAAAACCCAGCAGTTAAAAAGGCAACCATGACTTGCTGGTCAGTTAAGTCACCCCCATTGGTTTAGGTGCATGAAACTGGGCACACGAAGGCCTTCCTTGAAACTGTTTCTTCTTCATAATGGCACCTGTGTAGAGTTTTAAAACTTTCAGAAGGATATTGAACGTCCGTGTTGCTTGTTCAGCTGGAAGTTTAAAACTGTATTGTGAATGAAGTTCATCAAGAAAGAGCTTGTACGTTCTCGGTCTGCAAACAAGCTTAGATGTGGGGCGTTCGCCCCAGTCAGGAGTTCCTCCTACACTCTGATGTACTCTGGTATGCAAGGGCAGCCCTGTTCATATTAGTGGAGGAAGCAGAGCGATGTATACAAGTGATTCTTCTCTCTCCGTTGGAATGAATGGGACCGCCCCTGTCGTGGAGATCTTCAGGTGTGCATCTGGACTCATATAGAAATACGAACGTGAAATCATCTATTCAAGATCATTTCAGAGATCTTTTGTAATTTGTGCTACTATGAATTAAAGTGTACTGTTGTTCGCTAGTGAACAAACATAGCTGGAGATTTTTCTCCTGAAGTTTATTTAAAATGTTTTGTCTATTTCATTTCAGTACAAAGTAAATAGTCACAACCAACTCTTCCCCAAGCCCTCCTGGAATTATTGAACTGCTTTCAATCTGTCAGTTATTGCATAGATTTTCTGAGAGCTAATTTCAGCCGTTGTGATTATGCAGAAGTTGCAAGGGAATCCATGCTGACAATTTGGCAAGAGCTGCTGCTCACATCCTAGTTCCTACAGAAACAAACCTGGTTAACTTGCGTTTTTGAAAATTTCCAAGCTGTTTGGCAGTACCCAGGGAATCATTTGGAAAGGCAAAGAAGTATTTTTCTCAGAAGCCAACTGACCAAACTAATTGCCCTGTCAAAATATCATACCATTGGTATTTTCACATACAGACCATCTTTGTGTGGGAAACAGTGTGCAAACTGCATGTAGATCATCAGACTGGGGTTTTATTGCACACACATTTTATTTTTCTTCACTCACGTCAGACACTGTTGCCTTTGAAGTGGCCTCTCATTTTTAGCTAGATTATTGCACGGTGTTCCTTTTCCGCCTTCCCTCTTCTGTTGCCACCTTATGCTTGTCATGGAGTCTGGAGTTCCAATGTTTGTGTTTGCATTCCAAGCATGCCTACGTATTTAAGCCTCCTGAAAGGTTGCTGGATTGGAGACGTTAATTTCCCATTTAACTTCTCCAGGGTTTACCTAGGAGTTTTGAGTATTCAGCAAGCACGGCAGGGGATGTTCTTCATACTTGAAATTTTAGTGCTGGTGTGCATGTTTCCTATTCCCATTAGAAGAACTCGAGTGTTTTTGATCATTCTTTCAATATTTTGTCAAGGAAATTGTGCACAAAAAGGTTAATGATTACTGAGTGACAGAGAGAGACCTTTTTTTTTACAGTCCATATAAATCCAAATTAAAGATGAAATAAAAATAGCTGGTTGTTGTTGTTTTTTAAAATGTAGGTACACAGACGCACTATTCCTGTCCAGAGCATACAGTGGGTAGAATATTTAATGTGAGAGTGTCTTTGCATACTGTAAGAATTACATGCAGGGCTATTTTTGGGCAGGAACGCACAGGAACGGAGTTCCGGCTGGCTTCAGAGTTGGCCACACCCACTACAGCCAAAACCTCTGCGTGCCTGGCTACAGAGAGAAGGCCTGGAGAGTGACTCTGAGACAGGGGCCCTGGAAGGATCGAGGAGGCATTTGAATGTCTTCCTGTGCCTTCCCCGGCCTGTCCAAGGGCCGGCTTGCCCGGGCTCCCCGCAGCCATGGGGCACCCGAGCTAGCCAAGGGAAGACCGTTTAAACCGTTCCCCCTCCCCTCCAAGGGCTGGCTTGCCTGGGTTCCCCACAGCCGCGGGACTTGTGAGCAAAAATTCTACCTTGTGAGCTGCTGGCATTAAAGTTGTGAGTGAGCCATTTGGCTGCTGCATAAAATAGTTTGCTCTGGAGCCCTCCTTCCTGAGCTAAGACAAAAATGTGTGAGCCGGAGGCTAAAAAACTGTGAGCTAGCTCACACCAACTCAGCTTAGAGGGAACACTGATTACATGTATATAAATTACACTTCTAAGCTACTAGACACCTTAGCCACTTTATGACCCTTAGCCACAGACTAGACTTTAAAGGCAACAAAGAGACACACAAAATACTGTCCCCCACTGATCTTAAAATTTTTTGGCTTGTTGGGCAGGTACTTTGTTTTTGAATCTCAAACTGTAAAGCGAAACCAACAACAACGAAAAACAATGTTTCAGTAAAGAAGAGGAGGAGATTGGATTTATACTCCGCCCTTCACTACACAAGGGAGTCTCAGAGCGGCTTACAAACTCCTTTCCCTTCCCCTCCCCACAACAGACACCCTGTGAGGTAGGTGGGGCTGAGAGAGCTCTGGCAGAACCTGCTCTTTTTCAAGGACAGCTCTGACAGAACTACGGCTTGCCCAAGGTCATCCAGCAGGTGCAAGTGGAGGAGTGGGGAATCAAACCCGGCTCTCCCAGATTAGAGTCCGCGCACTTAACCACTACACCAAACTGGCTCTTGTAATAAAGGAATAGTCATAGTTCTTCTGCCTAGAAATGGAATGCCAAAATGGAATGAGAGCTGGTGTAGCGGTTAAGAGCGGCAGGACTCCTCCCCCACAGGCAGCCAGCTGGGTGACCTTGGGTCAGTCACAGCTCTCTCAGAGCTCTCTCAGACCCACCTACCTCACAGGGTGTCTGTTGTGTGGAGGGGAAGGGAAGGCGATTGTAAGCTGCTCCGAGACTCCTTCGGGCAGTGAAGGGTGGGGTTGAGGGAGGGGGAGGCATCCTTGTGCCTTCCTATGCAGAGCTGTGTCATGTCCGTCAGGACTGTGTGTCAGGTCCCCACTTCAGTGGTTCCTGAGCTCCCAGTGTGATAGAAATGTGGGTGTTGTTTTAAGATAAAAGTGGAGGGCTAGCTTTTACATACGAGATTTTCTTAAGAAGGAAAAGTTTTTGCTCTTGTCTGGCGTGCGCATTGGGTAGCGGCAAACAGGCGTCCCCGGAGGTTCCAACTTCAGGTAAATTTTGTGGTACAGCCCTCCCAGAGCTGTAACTCTTCAGAATGCTAGGAGGGAATTGCAGGAATTGTGCCCAAATGTCCCTCGAAGTGGGCAAATTAACAAGCTGGGCTGGATCCGAACCTCCCATTTCCATTATTGGCAAGACACTTCCCCTGGCACAGGAGGGACTGGGTCTGTCTTTGCCAGTCTCCTTCCCCCGCGGAGCCCCATGTCAAACCAGCACTGTTCCTGAGGCTCCTCTGAGACCCCGGGATGGCCTTTGCAGTGGGCAGAGCATCAGTCCAAGCTGCATTCCTTTTGGCGAGTGGGGCTCTGAGAAGGACTTTACCCTTCGGACTTGAAGTAGCCAAAGGGGCACTTTCACACATGCTAAATAACGCAGTTTCAGTCCACTTCAGCGACCGTCTGCAAGTGGATTTTGCCATTTCACCTCGTAAAATCCAGTTGAAAAGTGCATCGAAAGTGGATTTAAAGTGTGTTATTTAGCGAAAGAACTCTCACTTTCCATATGCAAGGTTGACTTGCATCCAGGGAGTTCTTGTGGAAGAGTTATCAGTAGCTTATATGTTGTAGCGCTGTCAGCAGAAAATGCAAGGACTTGTGGAGTCTTTTCAGTCTCCCCCCCCCCCAAGAGGAATTCAGGATAGAGTTGTGAACAGAAAGCTTTTATCTATGCATGGTGTGGCTAGGCGAAAATGACTGTTGCTTGTGTATTCCGTAGGGTACCTTTTACAGGAATATAACATTTTTGAAACTTTTCTCTACTAGCAGGTCCGTTAAAAAAAAAAAATTAAAGATGTCTGTTCTTCGATGTGTTCACAGGGAAGCCCTGTGAGCAAATGGAACTGGTCTAGTCAAGTCCTGTTTGCGATCTTGTGTCATCAAGAGCATGTAAAAAATGGAAGTAATATTTACTGGCTGCCATACCTCAATGGGAACCTCTTGTTCCGAGTTGTTCTGTTTACCTTTCCTGCTGCTTATGCAGTACAGCGAAGCACCTAACATGGCAAGATTTATAGCATAGTGTGTGTATGGCTTGTAATGCAGAGCTTCATTGTATTGTGACAGTTCGTTTGTTTATAGTTTCAATTTATAGACTGCCCTACCACCGAATACACACGGTTCAGGGTGGTGAACGACATGATGATAAACGCATTCATAAATAATCCACAGGTACTTTGTTATGTGTGATTTGATCAGCAGGTTCACATTAATTATAGAAGACGTGGTCTCTGACAATCACAGCAAATATTACTTCCAGCATATATTCCAGCAAATATTACTTCCAGCATATATTCCAGCAAATATTACTTCCAGCATATATTCCAGCAAATATTACTTCCAGCATATATTCCAGCAAATATTACTTCCAGCATAAATAATAAAAGAATTTAAATAATCCACAGGTATTTTGTTATGTGTGATTTGATCAGCAGGTTCACATTAATTATAGACGTCGTGGTCTCTGACAATCACAGCAAATATTACTTCCAGCATTGTCTCCTGCCTTGATCCAAACAATGGGTTCTGACTTTTTCTTAGATCCTTTTGGGTGGAAATAATAGAATCATAGAGTTGGAAGGGACCACCAGGGTCATCTAGTCCAACCCTCTGCACAATGCAGAAAATTCACAAATACCTCCCCCTAACGTGTTCCTAATAAGAGGTTGTGTCCCTGGATGACAAGCTGGTACTTTAATACAATTGCTAAAAATGTATGCAGCGGAGAAGGAAGCATTGCTGTCTTTCGTGCACATAGACTTTTTGTTTTTTTACATCCCACCCCATGACTTCATCTACTTGCTTCAGACGGACACCATGCACAACTGTTACATGGGCTAGTTAACTATGGAAAGATACTCATTTAACAAATGGACTTTCTTCCTGTAGAAATGTGTGATGCTTTGTAAACTGGAAAAAAAAAGTACTTGTGCCAACCTGTGCTGCTGCTTCTTAGGGACACAGCAGGTCAGGAGAGATTCAACAGCATTACCTCAGCTTATTACAGAAGTGCCAAGGGAATTATATTGGTGTACGATATCACAAAGAAGGAGACGTTCGATGATTTGCCGAAGTGGATGAAAATGATCGATAAGGTAAGCTTCGCTGTCTCTGAAAATCAGCGGCGTTGATTTTGATACGTGCCCTGGGTGTAATGGCAAATTGCATTGTGGCAGCATAGACCTGGAGACCGCGATGTGGCCCCTTCTGCAGGCACTGAGGGCTCAGTCGGATGTGACTCTATCTCTGGGTATCATTTTGTGCGTCAGTTCATAGCAGACTAATGGCAACCCCACAGGAATTTCAAGACAAGAGATTTTCAGAGCTGGTTTGCTATTGCCCGCCTCTGCCTAGTGACCCTGGACTTCCTTAGTGGTTGCCAAATGTTCCCTCTAAGCTGTGGAGTCTTGTGAGCAAAACTTCTACTTTGTGAGCTACTGGCTTTAAAGTTGTGAGCAAACGATTTGGCTACTGCATAAATTAGTTTGCTGTGGAGCCCTCCTTCCTGAGCTGAGACAAAAATGTGTGAGTCCGGAGGCTAGAGAACTGTGAGCTAGCTCACACTAACTCAGCTTAGAGGGAACACTGGTGGTCGCCCATCCAATTACTAGCCAGACCCGACCCTGCTTCGCTTCACGATTTGACGGGGTTGGGCTAGCTTGGGTTATATAGGTCAGGGCCCAGGTATCATGTGCGCGTCAAGTGCTGTCAAGTTATAGCCGCCTTATGGTGACCCCAGCAGGGAGCATTCAAGGCAGTTGAGAAGCAGATGTGGTTTGCCATTGCCCTCGTCTGCAGAGTCTTCCTTGGTAGTCTCCCTTCCGAGTGCCAACTAGGACTGGCCCTGCTTAGCTTCCAAGATCGGGCTAGATTGGACCATCGAGGTCCAATCACTTGATCCTTATGTTATACATGTAAAATTAGGGAGGTTTCAGCCATGCGGCCTACTACTTAGGTGCTGCTATTGACTTCCCAATCACAGACGTTAAATAGATTGCCCAGATGGAATCTTTAGTTCTGGATGCTGTTTCGTGACTGCAGGCGAGGGGTGGTATCTTTTCCCCCTGGTCTTTTTTTTTTTAAAAAAAAGGTTTGTGTGCTGAGATGTGTGGCCACCAGGTATCTTCATAATTTGCATGGGCTTCACTCCTGTGAAAGGCTTGCTGGGTGAAGATGTTTCCCTCTGTACCCATTTAAGGAGGGAATATATTTTTGCCTGCTGTTGCGTCTTTTATGTTCCAGTGATAACCAGGGCTATTTTTGGGCAGGAACGCACAGGAACGGAGTTCCGGCTGGCTCCCAAGTTGGCCACACCCAGCAGGAACTCGTTAGCATAATAGGCCACACCCAAGAGCAGAAACTTATTAGGATTGGCTACATTAGGGGTGTGTGGCCTAACATGCAAAGGAGTTCCTGCTACAAAAAAGCCCTGGGTTTTGACAACAAACAAGGTAAGCAGAATAAGAAGCAAAAGGTGGGTGTGGCTGGATGACCACACGTCTGGTAACATGGGGGTGTGGCCTATAATGCCAATGAGCTGTGCTGTCAGGGGTGTGGCCTAATATGCTAATAAGTTTCTGCTGTTGGGTGTGGCCAATTATGCTAATGAGTTCCTGCTGGGCTTTTTCCACAAAAAAAGCCCTGATAATGACATTTCACACTCCCAGCCTAAAACAGCCTGTTGCAGGCTGGACTGGCACTGTGAAATCTCTACCAGTTGAATGTCAGCCTGCAGAAACCATGCGTGTGGCCATGCTTTAACAGGACCCAGAAGCATAGGTGATATCCAGGCTTCTGTTTTCCTGCTCTCACGAGGGGTGGGGACTCTTTCCAGCAATGAAACCTATCCTGCAGCTGTTGTGTCAATTAATGGAACATACTATGTTTCATGGGGGGGGGAGTTGGTGGATTGGCTGCCAGAGAAATTCCCGCGCTGTGAGATGGGATGTTGTCCCCTTGTGCTACATAATGTAAATAGGTTGGCTGAAAATAATGTTAACGGGGAACTGAAAGATTGCATCAATGGATGCTCTGGGCTACAGTCAGTAGGATCAGGTGGCGTGAATGCATGAGACACATGGGCAATGCTCCCTGTAAGCTGTGGAGTCCTGTGAACAAAAAATCTACTTTGTGAGCTACTAGCATTGAAGTTGTGAGCGAGTGATTTGGCTACTGCATAAATTAGTTTGCTCTGGAGCCCTCCTTCCTGAGCTAAGACAAAAATGAGTGAGCCGGAGGCTAAAAAACTGTGAGCTAGCTCACACTAACTCAGCTTAGAGGGAACACTGCACACAGGAAATGGGAAATTGCACATCTGCATAGGGATCCAAAACAACACATGCTGTCTCAGCCACACATGCAGGACGCCTATGGTGACTGTGTGTATACGGAGGCAACCTTCTCATCTTTTTGCACCTTGAGTGTGACCTCTAAAGTAGCTATCATTTATTTATTTATTATTTCAATTTATATCCCGCCTTGCCACAGGACTGGCTCAAGGCGGCTAACAACATTATAACACTAAAACAATAAATACATTAAAATACACTATTTAATAATACAACTACCTAAACAATTAACAGGGCTAGTGATGGTAGTGATGATGATGGCGGCGTACAGTATACAGACAGAGGCATTAACCAACCGGTGTCTCGTGCGGGCTGAGATGTATTCCGGCGGTATATTCGCCAGTGGCCCATTCATCAGCGGCGGCTCCTAGTCGAAGGCCTGGTGGAAGAGCTCCGTTTTGCAGGCCCTGCAGAACTGTAGAAGGTCCCACAGGACCCTGATGTTATCCGGGAGCTCATTCCACCAGCATGGAGCCGCCGCTGAAAAGGCCCTGGCCCTGGTAGCGGCCAACTTGACGTCTCTCGGGCCAGGAAGAGTCAGGTGGTTCTGTGTTCCTGACATCAGCGCTCTTTGGGGCACATATGGGGAAAAGGCGGTCCCTCAAGTCGGCAGGTTCCTGACCATGTAGGGCTTTAAAGGTCAAAACCAGCACCTTGAAACGGATCCGGTATGCTATTGGCAGCCAGTGCAGTGCCTTCATATTTAGGTTATAGTGCTTTAGTTCAGTGCAGCACCGCACCCATACACTTTCTGCACTGGCAGGTTTCAGCTCACGAGAGACATCTGGCTGGTCACCTGCATGTTTCTTTTTTTTCATAGTAGCTTCTTCAGAATTTCCTCTGTGTGCCCACTTGACACGTCGTGCGGAGTTGGAATGTTGAACAGGAGTCAGGGTACTCTGGGTGGCTTGGCTCGGCTTGGCTGTTCCAATCTGATATTTTTCTTAAAGAACCATTTTCCTTATCAGTGTATGCCATGTTATTTGGCCACCGACCTGTTCCTAAATAGCGAGCGGTCAACCACTGCTAATTACCCGACTTGGCCGTACTGTCTTCAGTGACATCAGTAGAAACATAAAGCATTTTGGATGCCTGGCTACGCAAATAGGGGTGCATATTCCATTCTAATGTCATCTTTCGAAACATCATTGTGACACTTGTTATAAAGGGGTGCATGAACCAGCAGATCTCAAATGAAAGCAAGCTTCTGAGCAGTACTGCTAGAGTCGTGGTCCTCAGCCCATGGGTTGTGGGCTTCCACCTGCTAAGCCAGAAGCCCTATGCGGGTACTTTATGCCATTTTTTAGAATGCCTAAAGCAGGGGTGTCGAACTCATTTGTTATGAGGGCCGGATCTGATGTAAATGAGGCCTTGTCGGGCCGGGCCGTGTGTGTCATAAAATGTAATGCCAGGTAGCGGAGATATAAACTTTATAAAGGACACAAACACAAAAGGTTTTTTTTTAACTTAAAATAAAAACATGCTTAAAACATTAGCACTCCTGCAATATTTTGTTTATTTAACAGTGTCTGGTAACTGACACCTCTTGCTCTGAATTATTGCATCAAAATGTCTGTGCTGTTGCAACCTTGAGTATGCTGTTCAGGTGTGCATCTGTAAGCTGCAAACCTATGATGATGCAGCAGCAGCAGAGCTGGAAGAAGTAGCAGAAGACAGCCAGTTCCACTGTGGGCCTGATAAAAGCCCTTCAGGGGCCTGATCCGGCCCCTGGGCCGCATGTTTGTCACCCCTGGCCTAAAGGGCCAGGCGGTCTCCTGTCCTACCTGTCTGCAGGTAGCTGAGAGGATTAGCAAGACAGCAAGGCGGAGGGTGGGTCTCCTGCTGCTCAGCTTATGTTTCTTGTGGAAAGGGGGAGGGGGAATCCTGTTCAGTGACCTTGGTGCTGCTTGCGAACCATTGGATACAAGCCATTAATTCATGGCCATGTATCTAGTTCAGCACCCTAAAGCATTTAGGAGTGCAGTGGGTGGGTAAGTTCTTCATGTTGACCAAGCTGAAGTTCTAGAGGCTAGCATTCTAATCTTATGATTTGGACCATTTTGTTTTTCTCCCCCACCCACCCCGCCCCCACCCCAGTACGCCTCGGAAGATGCAGAGCTGCTACTGGTTGGGAATAAGTTAGATTGTGAAGCGGACAGAGAGATCAGTCGGCAACAGGGAGAAAAAGTAAGTGTAGGTAAAACCAAATTAATGTTCATTGATTCGGGGAGGTTGTGCCTTACGGAAGCACGAAGGACGCAGAAACTCAGTATAGTTTATATAATATATTGATTTTGATCTGAATTCTAACATTAATTTTTCATGCCTTAGAAACTGATTGGTTTATGTTATACATTTCTTAAAACGGAGAACAAGAAAAACCGTGAAAAAGTGACGCTTAATATATGTCTTTAAAGAATCATAAAAAAGTGAACAAAAATAATAATATACATAATCATAGAAAAATATATTGACGGTGATCTCCGGAATGTCTTTTTTTTTTTTCTGGAGAAGTCAACTGTTACTATACATTTCTTAAAACCAGATATATGTCTCAATGTTTTATACCGATTTATACAATGTTTAATTTAACCTGTGCCAGCAACATAAGAAGAGCTCTGCTGGATCAGACCAATGGTCCATCTAGTCCAGCATCCTGTCTCGCACAGTGGCCAATCAGTTCCTCTGGAGGGCCAACAACAGGGCATAGAGACCGAGGCCTTCCCCTGGTAAGAATATCAGAAGAGCCCCGCTGGATGAGACCAATGGTGCATCTAGTCCAGCATCCTGTCTCACACAGTGGGCAACCAGTTCCTCTGGAGGGCCAACAACAGGGCATAGAGGCCAAGGCCTTCCCCTGATAAGAACATAAGAACAGCTCTGCTGGATCAGACCAATGGTCCATCTAGTCCAGCATCCTGTCTCGCACAGTGGGCAACCAGTTCCGCTGGAGGGCCAACAACAGGGCACAGAGGCCAAGGCCTTCCCCTGATAAGAACATAAGAACAGCTCTGCTGGATCAGACCAATGGTCCATCCTGTCTCGCACAGTGGGCAACCAGTTCCTCTGGAGGGCCCACAACAGGGCACAGAGTCCCAGGCCTTTCCCTGATAAGAACATAAGAAGAGCTCTGCTGTATCAGACCAGTGGTCCATCTAGTCCAGCATCCTGTCTCACACAGTGGCCAACCAGTTCCTCTAGAGGGCCAACAACAGGGCATAGGGGTCGAGGCCGTCCCCTGATGTTGCCTCCTAGTGATTGCATTCAGATTTTAAAACTCTCTAACACATATGGATGGGAAGACCTATCCTCTATGACCCCAGCTTCTGTTACCCTGCCATTCAACCTTCCACAAGGCTCAGGTTGGCTTACAAGAGAATTCTAGCTGGGATAGTGCTGATGAACTGTTCATGTGAACGGCCCTTTCCTAGCGAGAGAGAGACTGTGCTGTTGCTGTTTGTGAGACACTGTGATGGCTCTAAAAAGCATTGGCATGGTCCTGTAGGCACAGCCCTTGCATGGTGGCAGAGGGTCATGTGAACAGCACCTCCATGTGAATATGGATGAGGCAGGCACACCAGATGGCCTGGCCACTCTTGGAGGCACTTGTTTGGGGACCACCAGATGTATGAACTAGCATCTAAAAGTAAAATTAAGCATCTTTCTAACGGCATGGGCACAGCTAAGATGCTTGTACTTTTTCGTGTTGCTCTTTTTAACCTGGAAAGAGGAGATAGAGTGTTTTTCGGTCTTGGTTCCACAACCATTGGCAGATTTCAGCCCCACCTACATCACAGGGTGTCTCTTGTGGGGAGGGGAAGGCAAAGGAATTTGTAAGCCGCTCTGAGACTCCTTTGGGTAGTGACGGGCAGGGTATAAATCCAACCTCCTCTTTCTCCTCTTCTTCATTGTTGGGAGCAAAAAAGTATGCTCTCTTCTTTCAGAAGTTCCAGCATTGAACAGGTTTATAAACAGACAGCTTGAATACTTTTTGCCAATGACTTTGAGTGCAGCACAATACATTCTAGTTTTATTGTAAAAATTTAAGGCTCTGAATGATGGAATAAATAACTCCAGAGACTCATGAAATCAAGTCTTTGGTGGTGAAAAGTGCCAGCAAGTCACCGCTGACTTCTAGTTAACTCTGTAGGGTTTTCAAGGCAAGAGATGTTCAGAGGTGGTCTCTCATCCCAATACTAACCAAGGCTGACCCTGCTTAGCTTCTGAGATCTGAAGAGACCAGGCCAGCCTGGGCCATCCAGGTCAGGGCAAATCAAGGCTTTAAGTAAAGGTAAAGGTCTCCCTTGCTCGAAAGCCAGTCAAATCCGACTCTAGGGTTGCAGTGCTCATCTCCGTTTCCAAGCCGAAGAGCCAGCGCTGTCCGAAGAAGTTTCCGTGGTCACGTGGCTGGCATGACTAGACACCGAGGCGCACGGAACGCTGTTCCCTTCCCACCGAAGTGGTACCTATTTATCTACTTGCAATTTCTTGCTTTCGAACTGCTAGGTTGGCAGGAGCTGGGACTAGAGACGGGAGCTCACTTCTAAGATCTGAAGAGACAGGGCTAGCCTGGGCCATCCAGGTCAGGGCAAATCCAGGCTTTACAGGTCGTGAAATAACACAATTTACATGTAATGCTATTATTAGTCAACTGTTGCTTAATTTAGTCCACAATGTGTAAGGCACGTAACCTGAAGACGATACATATTTTTACACGGAACTAAAAACTATGGACCAAATTAGACTCCCATTAATTCAGAACAACAAAAAAGTCATTCTTGATTTTTCTTTCCCCCCCGTCAGTTTGCACAGCAGATAACCGGGATGCGATTTTGCGAAGCCAGTGCCAAGGACAATTTTAACGTGGATGAAATATTTCTGAAGCTGGTTGATGACATCCTAAAAAAGGTAAACTGCTTTGATATACTACTAGCCGATGAGATTTCAGGTTTGGCCGCTTCAAGGCAATGTTGCTCGCCGCCACCGCCTGCTACAGTGGACCCTTGCCGTTCTTAATTCATGGTTCCATTTCGTCACAATTGGTGGCCCTAAACACATGACGTGGCTCCACGCTGGCTCCTTTGCAAGGACGCCTGGCTGATCAGCACTGCGCCTCCACAAGGAGGGAAATGTACACACGGAGTGAGTTGCACATTGGCTGCTTTTTGCCTCCGGGTCAAGCAACTTGGCTATGGTGACTGGCTGTGGCATCATCATGTGACTTGTCCAGGCTGGGCAGATGAGGTGATTATCTCTACTGTGGTGCTGTAGTCAAGCTTGGCACCATGTGTGAGACCCCCAGCGGGGGACATAGAGGGGCTTCTGTGGGGCAGCTTTGACCTCCCCGTCTGCCCCTGAAGTCGACAGATTCCCCCCGCCTCCCAGATTTCCCCATTTGCAGTGATCCTGGGGACAGAAGCCCTGCAAACGATGCGAGTCGACTGTACAATGGAATTTTTTGTTTCTGGTTCTTCCGTTACGTGAATATAGCCTTCTGAACGACTTCCACTTCTTCTGACCAAATGGGTTATATATGTTTTGTTGTTGAAGCAGGGTACTTTAAATCCCACTTTGCATGGAAACAACCTACCTGCGGTAGCTGTGAATGACTCCGGCTTCAGGACGGATAGGAGGAGCCATAGGAATTGCAAACCGCTGTTTGCTGTGAGATACAATGACAAAAATCCCATGCAACCAGTATTATGCATTTATTTATTAAAACATTGATAGCCTGCCTTTCCTCTTGGTTCGAGGCGGCTTACGATAATAGTTAAAATATCCCCAGCTAAAACCGAAGATAAAATAGCAAGCCCTCTCCCCCTCCCTTTAAAAGATGCCTGCCATTTAAACGCCCTCAAAAACCTTAGAAGAAGAAGAAGAAGAAGAAGAAGAAGAAGAAGAAGAAGAAGAAGAGATTGGATTTATACCCCGCCCTTCACTCGGAGTCTTAGAGCGGCTTACAAACTCCTTTCCCTTCCCCTCCCCACAACAGACA